GGGGGGGGGGGGGGGGGGGGGGGGGGTAACCAAGACGGAGGAGGTTAGAGGGCAGGGTTCCAGTAAACTTCGGGAAACGGAGCCTGATGGAGAAGAGTTCTTGGTTCACAGCGCAGGCCTGTCACAGTTCTTCGTCATGACTAGCGAAGGCAGGGTGCTGCAGAGAAAACCCTTCCAGCAAAACAATCCGCTACTACTTCGTACTTCGATACTCTTCAACAGAAACTGCGGCAGACAGCAATGCGGGTCCATCACCGACTCTCGTGGTGCCCCTGGGAACCAGCTACAACTAGCATAAGTATCCTTCCAGCGGAGAGGAAAGCGGGTAGGACGTCGGTTGTGTCCCAGTCAATCCCATTCCTCTCCCATGCAAAACAATGTTGCTGCTGAACGCGCAAGCGCGTACAATAGGCATTCGCTGTGTAGAGCGAGCGCATGGCCGCTGCACCCCCGTGTCGCCAATCCCGGCAACATCGTCTATATACGCCGGAGAGGCGGATGGAGACGACGCTGTTGAAAATGAGAGCCACAAAAGGCCTCACCAATCCCTCCTGAATCTAAGCCACTCGTCTACGACGGAACAGTATAAACGACACACAAATAGACAAAGCAGAGGCCTGTCCCGTGACGTACGCTGGTCCCAACCTCTACTAGCTGTACCTCTGCTGCGTTTACTCACGTGCACGAGGGCGTCGTCCCTGTGTCCCTTCATCACCATCTGCTGGTCCCTCAGCTGCTTCGCCACGTCCTACGCCATCAGCAGCGGCGACGGGGAACAGACACACAAAAACAGAAATAAAGCGTTGTTTTGAGGAATATCGGGCCAGGGGCGCCGGCGTCGTGCAGCCGTCGCTACAACACACCTGCCTTGCGACGGAACGAGGAGGCACCAGCATCGACCGCACTTGTCACCACAAGCATGATGACAAAAAAAAAAAAAGACAAAGTCTACGCCACGCAATCACGTCTCCCAGCCCTCTTGCGTCGTGCCCCCAGGTTGCGAAAAGGCAACGCAAGCAGCCGCGAAAAGCTTCTTCCTTGAAAAAAAAAAAAAGACAAAGTTATCTACCTTGGCCGAAGATCCCGACACCTCGATCCACGTCTTGGAGAACAGCGCGCACGCCGTGAGGATGAAGGTGATGTAGATCACCGCGTGGACGGGGTCCTTGAGGATCTCCGCCATGGTGGTCGGGGGCGAGATGTAGTACGCCAGCCCACCCACGGGCACCGAGGTCCCGGGCATGCCCTCGACCTCCGCCCATCTTCCCATAAGACGCACCTATAAACAAAAAACAAAAAAATGGAACAAGCGTTAGGTCTGGCAAGCGTTCAAAGATTTGGCAAGCCAGGACCGTTGGACGTGATCACGCGTGATATTACAGGTAGAGAAATAAATCTCCGTTTCATGACCGAAAAGGACGGAAACGCGTGGTGTACCCCCGAACCTCAACAGAGCAGGTTGTGCTCTAGACCTGTGCACGTCAAAGACACGCAAGACGCTTCAAACTTCAGCCACATCACCAACTATTGCCGCTTGTCAAGCTTGTCTTTCCCGACAAGAAAAAAAGACAAACTGCAGCCAGAAAACGAAAAAAAAATCCTACGCGGACATTCCAAAACAAAAAAACGTCCGCCTACAATACCTGCACACATCATGTCAAGCGGCAATACAAACGCACCCAACAGCCGACAAACTACAACACGGGGGAGTCCGGAGAAAAGCTTGAAGAAGAGGCAATGGCGTAGTCAAAAACAGCTCACCAGCAGGTTGCCAGCGTAGCGGTTGTGCAGGAGCTGGCTGAGGAAGTAGAGGTTGGACACCAGGGCCGTCTGGAGGATGACGGGCATGTTAGACGTGTAGAAAAGCTTGATCGGGTAGGTGCCTTGTTGACCGCGGTACTTTTGGTACTTCACCTGCGAACGAAAGAGGACCGCAAGGGGAACCAGAGAGCACCGCAAGGTCAAGAACAAAAGACGCGTTAAAATGGAGATTTGGATGAATCCAACGCCGAGAGACAAATATCTAGACTGGAGGGGGGACAGGCTCGCAAAAAGTAAACAGCGACGTCGCTCAAGGTAAATCGAGCAGGAAGGCGCTACTCAGCTCGAAGCGTACTACCCCCCACAAGACGAGAACCGACCGGGACAGCAACCAAACGACCCGCAAAATGGAGAACCGACAAAAATAACTCAAACTCGCAGCATCTAAACGCGTCAAAACACACTGAACACCAACAAGAGAAGAACACCTTTACGTACGACACCAGCACCCCCGGGGCGATACTCTTGACAGTTTTTTCACCACCATCGCACTCACAACCAACACCAGCAAGCGACAACGACGAGAACGACGGGGGCGATAACCTTCTCACCGGCAGGTCCACCCTCCAGCCCTGGAAGTAGATCACCACGATGAACACGAGCGCGGTCGCCAGGAGGTTGGTGATGTTGGGGAGGTTTTGCCTGTAGAATGCCTCCTGCAGAGCGCGCATCTGCAAGAGAGAGGGAGAGGGAGAGATTACGACCGCAAGCGAGAGCCGGGGCAAGGCTCTTCTTCTGTGATTTCCACTCCCGACAAGCAAACAACCAAGAGACGCACGACGCCACGCACAAGGCGATGACCCGATCCTCGCCGAACGCGAAAAAAAAACAGACAAGATAGTCGCCCCACAACCTGCCCGGCCTGCTCGTGCCACTGGCGCTACACCACGGCCGCTACCATCTGCTACAGTAGAGATACACACCTTGTCTGGCCGCGTGATCATGAGGTGGAAGAGTGCGATGATGGCTCCCTCGAACTCGGTCCCCCTCCCCGTGTTGATCGTCGTCGGCGAGAACGCCTTCCAGATGATCGTCTCGCAGATGTTCGTCGCGATGAAGAGGGAAATTCCCGAACCGAGCCCGTACCTATTACAGGTGTCACCACCACAAGCAGTAGTCGTTCGCGGCGTGTGAGCTCTGTCATCAGATGCCAGCCACTGCGTACACGCAAACACTGGAGACAGAACGCACTTTTTGATTGGCCAACCCGCTACACAAACGCGCTTCATCGTCCTAGCCGTATGGAAACAAGCACGCCGGTGGCACTTGCCCTTCTTCTCACCCCTTCTGCAGCAGCTCGTCGAGGATGATAACGATCAGCCCGGCGAAGAAGAGCTGGCAGATGATGAGGATGGCGTTACCGGCACCGAGGGTAGACAGGTCACCGTACATGCCAGACACCACGTACGCCACGGCCTCTCCGATCGTGATCAGGATACCGAAGAGCTGGGAAAGGGTGACGGAATCATTGATATAGTTCGGGAGGGCTTTTTTCAACAGCAGTTTTTTTTTGGCGTTTTCGCTGGTAGATACCGGCTTCAGAATTGCGGTCATTGGACGGGCGCCAGCCACCATCAGAGTTTGCAGTCGAACGGCTGTCTAGGTAGCGTCGGCACTCCGGAATTAAACACATACGAGGAGACCAACAGCCAGAAGGGTGTGCGGATGAAGCAGCTGGGCAGTTTTGAAGATCGGCTGGGAGGCGAAGTTGTACGAACTCAGGAATGCTTTCCTTAAAGCTAGATGCCGCTGGTACCAGATATCTGACCAGATATCTGGTACCAGCGGCATCTATAATAGCTTCAAGGAGAGCATGCTCGAGTTCGTACAACTTCGCTACCGGGTCGTCCTCCCTCCCGATCTCCAAGCTGTCCAGCTGTTTCATCCACACACCCTCCTTCGGTTTTGCTGCCCGCCACCTCTCGGTCGAATGCTCTCACGGGTGGTACTGGCCCTGACACCTCCGCATGTCCATCAAACAATCAAACAATCAAACAATCAACCATCCACCTGAAAATAACAAACATTGCTCTCAGGAAGAACCATGCCCGTTTGGGGGTAACTAACACCGTCCGACCGGCAGCCTTAGCCAAGAACCCCCGACAGGGGAGGCACGAGGGGGGGGGGGGGGCAGTAAGGCCGTAAATACTGCCCACCCACGACACCAAACCACGGACCCCCCCTCTCTCTTCGCAGTGCTGCTGGCTCACCTTCTGCGCTCCGCTGAACAGAGCCCGATCTTCCTTGATGGACTGGTTGACCTCGATGATTCGAGACCCGGCGAGCAGCTGCATAACGAGTGATGACGTCACGATCGGCGAAATACCTGTCCCCGCACCCCCCCCGCGAGCATACGTACAAAAGAGACAATGTTAAGGGGACAGGAACGCAACACATACGGTATGGCACAGGGACCGTCGATTTCGATCCCTATCGGCATCGCAGCGGCAGTCAGCAAAAAAATCTCAAGTGTGTAACAATCCGCCGCGCGTCGCGCCCTGCACCCCGCCCCCGGCTTGCACCCACTTCCGTCGCTTCCAGGCAATCTCTTCAAAAACAACAGCAGCTTCCCTATTCCCGCGGGAGGCCGGCGGTTGGGGCTCATGCAACCAGCGAACGTGGCAGCTTGCAAAAAATGCTACGACAGCAACGGTACTTGGCGGCGTGCCACCAAACACGAAAAAGGGACGTGCTACACATAGGTACGTTGTTTGGCATGTGCCGCTTTTTCGGTGCCGAGAGCGCCATGGGGTGAAGAAATTCCCCACCCACCCCGATTTCTTTCGCGGTCCCTTATCTCGCTACAAACAGCGGTGCTTGGTGTCTTCACATTGGTCAACCGGGCAGCGCGGTCGATGCTGACTAAAATAACCACACAGCACACCTCCTAAACACGAGCACGACAAAAAACGTACGACCTTCGTTACTGCAAAAGAGAAAAAAAAAAAAACACACACACAGGAGGATGATGGTGAAAGCACTCCAAAACGACCTCGAGTGCAAGGTAGCAGCCTTGGTAGACACGTGCAGCCTTCCTCTGTTGCTACCGTTTCTGTCTTTAATCCGTAGAATAGCTTAGCCTCCCCCATGCCCTCCCCTCACGGAGTCCCAGTTCATGGCATGTACAAGTGTTTCGTGTTTTCAACCGCACCGAGACTGGCATATTTTCATTGGTCAGCCGGTTAGCGCGGTCGATGCTAATAATGAAGACACACACAGGAAAAAAAAGACATCATCGCGACCTACCGAGCTCCATGAGCGTGCCGCGGTTGGAGGCGAGGATGACGCGCATCCAGTAGAACGGGTCCGACGACTTGGCCGACTGCACGCCGTAGATGGGAATCTGGCAGCACACTAGGAAGATGAAGAGCGTGATCACCGTCCACAGCACTTTCTCCCGGAAAGGGATCTGATTGTTTTTTTTTGTTGTCCGGAAAAGAAAAAAAAAGACAGCACAAACGGAAGAAAGGGACGTGTTGTTAAAAGGTAAGTAGTGGGTGAAGTTGTGCTGCGTAGGCAGTCGGGGGTGGTGATGTGAATGCGTACTGCACAAGCAGAGCATTCTTTTGAAAGAAACAAAAAATGTATATGCGCGGTGTGCTGCTGTGTTTCTTCAACATCAATAGGGTCGACTGGGCTACACGGCTGACCAATGACAAAACCTCAGCCTTGCACAAGTGTACTGTTAAAACGCGAACACGATTCTTGCGTCATTGGGCTCAGAAGGCAAGTTGGGGCGTTGGTGTGAATGTGGAAAATGTGGAAGGGCGTTTTTACAGCAGCACTCAGCACCAGCAGGTGATACTGACAACGACGAGCCAAGCGGTAAAAAGTGGCCTCATCTATCCGTGGATGTAGACTACATGTATATACACATAGGTTGCGCACTTGCTGGCCGAATTTACGGTGTATCTCACGCATATGTTATGGAAAGTTCTGGGCGCTTTCCTCTAGCTGAGTGCCACGACGCCAAGCAGCGGTCGTTGCGCTAGCCATTCCACAGCAGTAGCAAATACCAGGGTTGTGTGTGTACTGTAGTGTGAACGAGGAGCAACCTTGCAGCTCTTCAGCTCGAGGGGGTCTGTGGCCGCTTCGGCACCAACAACCGCAACCGCAATTTCTCCGCCTCCAGCAAAAATCGTTAAATAGTCGGCTGCACCCGCCGTGGGATGATGATATAAGATACATACGTACCCCATCCCCTTCGGAACCGATTTTCAAAGCTCGGCTACGCCACGACGAAGACAATGCCAAATCCAAACCATGCCTTTTCGGAAAAATGTCGCCTGGGTGCTTCCAACACCCGCGATTTCGGTGCCGCCATCACCGATTTTTTTTTTTTTTTGCTTGTTGGAAGAGTACTGTATTCGAGCTTTCGAACATCGGTCAAGGGGGTGTGGTATCTTACACAACCAACTCAATCCTCATTATTAGGTGCTGCTACCGGCCGGCACTGGGAAGCTAATAGGAGACCAGCGCATGGCAAGAGAAAACTGAACACATGGCCACCCTCGTTGCGGATAAAGGCCTCTGCGAAGCGAAGGGTGAAGCTACATTTGGTGCTGGGATGCGAGAGCACCAAAACTGCTGTGTGTAGGCCAGCAGGGTACACGAGGGCTGCTGGTGTTTACCCGATCGTTGATTGTGCGCAAATCCGTCAGCGCCCAACAGGTACATAATCAAGAAGCTACGGCGGTATACCCCGACTCTGCGCAGCCTACCACCTCTCTCTATCACCCTCTGTTCGTGCGAGATTGCATGGCTGATGGCCTCACGGGTGGGGACGAGCGTGTGCCACAGTTTAGTGGCCCTCCTCGCGTGGCACTCTGCGTGCAGCGTTACGTGTCGACCCACCAACAAATGTGTCACAACCACACCACCAGCGAACAAATACACGACAACACAGCAGGTGTAACCTGTTTGGGTCCAAGCTGAGGCAAGGAAGCAGCTATGTTTGTCCTCGTCCTGACGCATCCATCGCCAAGACCATGGGCCAAGCAAGCAAGCAAGCAAGCAGAGTCTGCCGCTTACTCCCTCTGTATGCCCACAAGCTGCGCCGGTTCTTCTCTGCCCGCAACGGTTCATAAAACACCCACACCCCACAGCCGCATACACACACCTTCACGAAAGAGTCTAACTCCGACCAAAAGAGACGGGGTGGGAGACAGACAGATGTGTGGTATCATCTTTCGAGCGGGGGCTGGGGAGCTGAGCCACCACGTAGACATGCGACGAGGGCGTGTGGCTCATCTCTGTCGCTGACCGCTCACCGTGCTGCCCATCCAACCCCTCTCTCTCTCCACAACCGCCCGCTCGTGAGAGCAAGGCACGCAAAAACTTGACTCACTTTGCGGTCCGGTTGTGCGACCTCAGGGAGGACGCACATGACCGGCCGGATCAAATGAAGGAACCGCATGATGCTAGCACAGCCGCCAACTCCTGCGCTCGTTCCTCGCTAAGCAGCGCCTCCCGTGTTTTGCCTCACACTGCCTCCCTGCCTCGGCCCCTCAAGCCTCTGCCTCCATCTATCTCTCTCTCTCGGTTGCCGCGTGCGCCAATCAAATCGCTTTGTAACCGTTTATCTTTGAAAAATTATATTCGCAGCAGGACCGTTCTTTCTCGACGACGAAGCACATTGTGCCGACGTTCTCAAGCTCTCTCTGTTGGAAGGGTATCCGGGTTTCAAATAGTTGGGAGATCGGGACACACAGCAGAGGACCACACGCTGTCTCAAACCATCGAGAAGAAGCGCGCCTAAAGGCAGGGGCATGGTGAGTCGAGCATACGTGCGGTTGTCGGTTTGCGTTCGGACGATCTATGTCGTTGAACTGAAGCATGCAATCAATCACCGGCCTGTGGTGTCCGGTGTACCACAAGGCATACCGAACACAAAGCACCGTGTTTTACTCCTTCTCCAAAGTGAATGCACACGCCATGCAACATGCATGCAACGTGCCTACTACCGCCGTCTGCTGTGTCGTTCAATTCCCATGCTAGAGGACGGCTGTGTCCGCCGAGCACGTGGTGCGAAAGGACAAACCAACTGCACTGCAGTCGGAACATCTTGATACGCCGCATGCAATACGCGGATTTCAAATGTGAAGACACCAAGAATAACGTTGCTCAATACTCTGCTGTGGTCATGGTTGTGCTGCACGTAATCAGGGTGTGGGTCGAATGCGCCGGCGCACATGATGTAACACACCGCTCGGAGAAGGTTTGACGCCGAACCTTTTCCGAGCAGTTATAGGGAGGAATGTACCCTGCACCTACAGCAGTCTAGGCGACGTTTGATAACCTTGCAAGATCTCCACGAAATTCTTGTGTTGCACCAGGGTTATAGTTAGACTTCAACTTAACTGTTCAATCTCGTTGTTTTACGTCACCACTATCCCTTAACTTGGGTGTTTTGAAGACCAGACAAGGGCGACACAGAATTTTGTTTGAATGGTACAGTATACAAGATATCGCTGAAAGAATACCCTTGCGAGAATACCATAAGAGGAGAGTTCAAATCTGTACGTACGTAGTATGCGAGCGCACCTGTTTCTTCGTTCCTCATTCATATCTTTCTCCATGCCGTATGGTCCGTGTTGTGCGAAGATTTCGCAGGGCGCCACATAGAGACCCTACAACATTCCTCCCACTTCCTCTTTGACCCCACTTTGATCGCTTTCTCAAGTCGGAGGTTGAGGAAACTCTGGAACGAATCAAGGTCCAGCCGGGCGTGGAAGGATATGTCATCTGCGACATGGAAGGGCAGGTGAGTCCGGCCCGGGAAGACAGAACAGGCTTTGCTACTGCACCGTAGCATGCAGCGCGTCCTCGAGACGAGGCAGTTTTGCGCCGACAATTATTATCCTTTGATGGCCCTAACGTTGGACAACCAAGTAGATTGGGCTCGTTCTTTGTCGTAGGCGTCTACCATCTTATGCGCGCGCTCACTTCTTGTCCCGACGAGCCACAGCACTTTACTCAACCGCCTCGGGCACGGAATGTGCGTTTCCTTTCAGGCCAAGGGCTAAGCACACACAACGTTTAATCTTTTCATTGGGCCTCTGACAAGACTGATCTACAAAGAAAACTCAGACGTGTAAACGCTGGCGCTTACAGACATGTAAAGACGCGTGCCTAGCCTGACACAGCACTTCGTGAGTGGTGTACATCGGCGTACTTGTTTGTGTGGCGTTCAGGTCAACCAGAAAGAAAAAAACCTTGTTCAGTATTCGGCACTCTCATGCATCATTCGTTGCGCACATCAGGCCGTGGACATTGCTGCTGTAGGTTCGGTACGCTGTCCGACACTTGGCCTGAAAATGAACGCCTATCATACGTTCGTCAGGTTTTGCGTAGGTTTCCGACGATGTCCCAGGAAACGGCCGAGATCTACGCCGAAGCCATGAGACACCTGGCTCTCAAGGCGCGCGGGGTGGTGAGGGACGTCAACCCAAAGGGGGAGCTGAAGTACATGAGGATCCGGGCGAAACGACACGAGGTTTTGGTGGCTTTTGGTGAGGAGTAGACCACGGCAGACGGGAAACACGGCGGCCTCTGAACACACGTCAACAGCAGTAGTTATTGTTGAAGCGCTTCTTATTGGCCGGACTAAACAAGAGGACATCGTAGGAAACATGGCGGGTTGAGACCATTGCGGCGTTGGAGACCAAGCCGTTTCTCGCTGGCTGCCTTCTCGTTGCCCACGGTGTGTCGTGGATGCTGGTTCCTGTTCGGAAAACAGCACTATCGACAACTCGGCGCGCCCATTATGTAGGAGACGGTGCACAGATAGATGTGTTAGTATCACAGGGTAGAGGAATGTAGAACTCAAGAGAGCGGAGCAACGTCCTTGGCTGTATCAACTGATCATTCAGTGACAGCTGATGACCCGGGGATAGATGATATGGAATGATTTGCGAAAAATCTTGCGGAACTTCATGGGGCTGCATTGTTGGCGCGGTCTCTAGAAGAAGCCGCTCAATTGAGTAAGTCTGAGCACCCCTCCCCCCCCGCCTTCCCCTCTCTTCGTCCCTCTTCCTTGTCTCGCGATTTCCTCCCCCGTTCTCCGCCCTCCATCGCTCACGCTTCCGTCGGTCGCTCCTCGACCCTAATCGCAGACCATGATTTCTTGGCGATCGTGATTCAACGTTGGCAACCGGCCGGGGTGGCATGAAAAGCGGCGATTCTTTTTGGTAGGGGATGCTCCAAGAGGACTCGCGACGGGGCGTTTGCGGCAGCTGAAATATTTGTAGTTGCCAGAACCTGGGACCCTTTATTTTCAGCGAGTCCATGTGTTGGGTGCTATCTATGTCGTCCGGCGGAGGGGAGGGGGGAGGGGGGTACGGCAGGTACGGGGAACATGAAGAAACAACGCCAGAATATTCCTCTTTTCTGTTTGGCTGGTGGTCTACCGGGCCCATAGACATGGCTAGAACTGGTCCAAGAGGATATTCTCAGCAGCGCCTACTGTACAACGTATGGGGGGGGGTATGTGCATGATAATTAGTCTGCTGGAAAAAAGCACCGTGGCCCGCTCAAGGAAGACGCCGGCCACTTCTACTCCAGCAGTGTGAGTATGATGAATATGAAACCAGCGAATGAACCGCGAGGGGAGAGGACGGGGCTCTTCAGCGACCTGTATATTGACGGGATATGAAAGCGAACATCAAACAACACTACACCGAGAGCGCCAAATGAGGGCAAAGCACCTAACGACAGATGCGCACGCCATAGCAGTCTGCAATTGCGTGGCGGGAGCGCTCTCGTGAACTTCTCACACGAAGTAATCCTTGAAGATGGCTCGGATGAACGCTAGGTTTCGAAACAAGATCTTGTGTCTCATGGTCGCATTTCCTAGTGTCCGCTTCGCCACCCTACGGTGAACGCTTCGAGAAGGGATTGTGGCCATGAACCTCGACAGCTTGCTCGCTCTGTACACTCTTTCGCCCTTTCCAAATGGCGAGAAACACAAATCAAGCGTGTGGGCACTGCCTCCCCCCTCGTAAACGCAAACACGAGGCGGCAGTTCGAACACTCCCTGCGCGGTCGCTCGTCGTTTGTTTGCAGCCGAACCACGAAGTGGTGGCCGGAGGGCATACTGTAGCTGGCGGGTTGAAAACAACTATTTCACGTCGAAGAAAGACGTCAGTCGCGAGACTACAGCAAGACTTGAGCGCGCGCACTTGCGGCTGGAACAAATCATTCTGTACACCGCAAAAAGTGGTATAAGTGAGAGTGCATTGATGGAATCAACTACACTACGCTTCTAGAAGAAAAAGGTCAGGCAACATCTCGAAGCCGGTCTGGAGTGTGGGGAACCAATGTTTAGGGCAGTCCACTGCTTGCCCGGAAAGTGAGCAGAACGACTCTATCTACGTATGCTGAAGTACGAGTACCAAAAATTTAGAGCGTAGCGGCAACTTCATGCCTAGCCTAGCCCCGGGCGAAACATCACACTTACCCCACCACCTAAGCACTTCAAAGCCAAGGGAGAAATATATCAAAGACGCTATGCGGATGCTGTGCCAGCTCCAAGCCGCCTGCGTACAAAAGCACCGGCACTATTCCAGAAGCAAAACGCATCTTGACGGGAACGCCAACCACTGGGTACCGCGCGCAAACCGCCCGCCACCATACATGTAAGATTTCCGAGCAGCTGCTTTTGCCCAATAGGCCCTATCGACCTAGGTAAAAACGTACAACAGACGCCCGGCACCGTCTCTCCAACCACGGCGGCGGTGCTAACGCCCTCCCGCCGACCCAAACGCCTCTGGCCCAACAACTCAAACGTTGAAGCTCTCGCCGCAGCCGCACTCGCCCTTCGCGTTGGGATTTGTGAAGGTGAACTCCGAGGACAGCTCCGTCTCTTCCCAGTCCATGACCGTCCCCGCGATGTAGAGCGTCGCCATGGGGTCTACGAAAAGTTTAACACCGTCGCCGTTTCCAGTAGCAGCAGCGTCACCCCCCCCTGCGGCCGCAGCTCCTTCTCGCTCCCCCTCCCCGTGCTCCCGTTGCCCCGTTTGTGGGCGCCCGCCGCGAACAACGACCTCTTCGTCGCCTTTCGGCTTCTCGTCCGCGTACTTGAGCGTGTACGACATGCCGTTGCAGCCCCGTCGCTTCACCCCGAGACGGACGCCGACCTTCCCCGGCTTGTTCGCCACTAGAGAGACGAGATGCGACGCCGCTCGATCCGTCTGTTCCCCCAACGAAAAGAGATGAAAAAAGGGTAAAAAGGCGAGGTGGGTGGTGAGCGTGTGGGAACGACGAACACGACGAGAGAGTCGAGCCGTCGATCTTGGTGTTTTCTGAAGGTACGGCAGTAGTGCGTGCAACATGCCCGTGCGGGAGCGGAGTATTGTTCAATAGCGGGGAACCCTTATCATCGAACAAAAACCAAACACAGAGGTCGCAGACCGGATGGTGGGAAGAGGATGTTTTGTGAATGTTTGTTGAGATTCAGGGAGGTGCAAAAAGTGTCAGTTCCCACCACCCGCGAGTATGTTTGATTCCGTGCTCCTGATATAGGCTTTGGTTGCTGTCGCAAGTAAAAACGACACACAGAGGCACCGCAGTAGTTCGTGGGCGCCTGAAAAGGTGCAGTTGTGTGGAACCGTTCGACTAGGCCACCGGGTGTGGTCGGGAGGCTTGTTCATAAGCTACCATACCTTTTTATGTTGAAGGGAGATTCTCATTCCGAACGGCGTGACCGTTGCTACTGTAAAATACAAAGGCAACATCCGAACACGGGTTGTTAATGCTGTGCGTCAACAGAGAGAGAGAGGACAGGTTGCCCAATCACAGAAACACGTTCGGAGCAGCGCGCTGCTAGTACACGCTCGACCGTTGGATGTGCTGTACTAATGTTGGAGAACACCTCAATGGCGGCCGCAGAAATAGCTGCACAATTTAGCACCAACCCTCTCGAGAACTAGCGATTCTGCGACGCTATCGACGTACTGTACAGGAGCACCGAGTGTGGGAGGTGCTGACATGCTTGATCCAACGTACACGCCGGATAGAGTCGTACCAACAACCTAACTCAATCGGAGGGTTTACGAGGCTATGGGAGGCCCGCTGGGGACCTGGACGGGAGTCAGCACCAGGAAACAATCCGCATTTTCCAACCACATTGTTTATGTTTCGAACAAATAGGCAGTGCTTGTGATACTGCTGACGACATCGGTCATTAGGCGGAATATCGGAGGATGGAATGGTTAATAGCGCAAGAAACAAGTCTTGCGGCAGCGGAGTTCCACGAAAGGCTGGGTATATTCAATCGAGCGGATGCGCGGTGCGCGGCGAGATACCGAAGTGAAATGCCCCGCCTCCGGAAAACAAGTTCAGTTCCGCACTGGTTCCCTGGTCTTGTCGCTGGAAGGGGAAGGGGAAGGGTAAACGCAACCTAAGTCCTGAAGCGCGACTGACGATATCAATCGCAGTGATGGCAGTCGCATTACTCCGCAGAGTTGAACTGATACCACTCAGGGCGTACGGGCAGAAGAAGGAGGGAGCGGAGGCGCACTTTCGTGCGCGCCCGTCCGACTGCAACTTCAGGAAGTAGAGTATCGAGAACCTTGATGCAACCCTTTTTGGTCTCACCAGAGTTATTGGGGCTGGTCTGTCTCGCAAGAGGCGTCTCCTTCGCGGCTTTGGGCTCGCGTCTGCTTCTTGTTGCGGCCGTACCTCCTCCTTTCGGGTCGCTTCGGCCGCTGCTGCTGATGCTAGTTCCTGAACCGCGCCGCCGTCCTCAAGAGTTGTCGCCACGGCGGACGCGAAACCTCGTATTGCCCGCGGCAGCGTTTCGATTCGCCCACCGAGGGACAGCGGCGGCTCTTGCCTCAGCGTCGAGGGCACACTGCGGCCACGACAAAACAGAAGCTTGTCCACCGCAGCAGTGGTAGCGTTTCGCTGCTGTTGGCCGGCGGCGAGAGCATTGGCAGCAGCTCGTCCGCAGTGGGCCCTCGCTGCTGACGCGCGACTCGCGGAACGAAACATCTCCAAAGTGGGACGGATGCGCTGACGAGGCCAATGCTAGAGCTCCCCCTGGCGTAGTAATTTGGTTCGCAGGGTGTATCCGCAGATGCTGATTTAACCCTTCTCCTTCCTCTTGATAGATGGTTCACGTAGCGCGTCAGGTGGGTTTGTGAAACGGCCCTCTTTCCCAGGGTCGTATTCTGCCGGCGGCTTTGCTGCGCTGTGCGGTGCATCATCATACTGCCGCGGGGGGACTGCGGATGAAATCCAAGGTAACGGCATACCATGGCAATTCCGCGGAGCCGCTTTGGGGAGGAATTATGCCGCATCGCATCGACTCATTCTCCTGCACACGCGGAGATGTTCATCGTGTCAGCGCATCATGCTGCTTGTATAAGGGTTGACGGTGCCACATTGCCACCTCCAGCGTTCAGTTGTTATATGAAAGAATATGACATCGCCTTGTGCACGAATTTTGGTCGTTTTCCGTACGTGGCGTTTCGGTCGAACTCTTCTCCCTCTGGAAAGCAGAAACAAAAACGATTATTGTGCGGACCTTTTCTTGCACTCCACAGCCAGCACACGGATGGATGCGACTCCAAGCTTTCCCAACAAACGACCGTAGACAACACACATGATATAACCAACGCGCACCCGGCTATGGCTGGCTCACGATGGAAGGCAAGGGTTAGCCGCCCCGCCCCGCCCCGCCCCGCTCCGCCCCGCCCCTTTGCCTTCCGTCTTTGCAACCGGCAGCGCCGTATGCGCAAAGTTGTTGACAAGAGACGGAATCAAGATCCAAGCCGTCTCAACCACACAATACACAACACCGCTTCATCTGCGCTAGAACCACATACAACAATCTATCGAGCGGGCGCAAGAGCCAGAATAAAAAAGAAGAAACAAACGTGCTATACGACGGTTCTGCTCGCCACCCCCACCAACAGGACATCTCTCCCACTTGTCAACCCGAACGAAACAAAAGCCATTACATGCGTTGGAGAACACCGCCTCTCTCTTCTTTGCGCAGCCTATAAGGCACGAAGAGATGTATACACAACAGCGCGTACAACAAGATAATTGGAAAACACGTAAGAGTTTGAGAACACGCCGGCCGTGAATAAACCTACTTCGTACAAAAATCTTCGTACAAAAATAAATAAGGAAACAATGTCACACTCGTATTGCAACCGAGGTATGAGAAGCCGGGAACGCGAGTACAAAAGTCCAAAAAACCTTTCGGCTTAAACCAAGGGAGGAGCAATGCGACGAGTTTTTGCGCGGACCGTTGCCCCCACCGCCACCCCAACCCCGCTTATGTGTCCGTCCCACCTAATCTGGCGGCAGTCTAAATACCTTTCGATGTGTACTTGACGAATCAGGCGGACCTACAGCTAGCTACGCCTTTGAACACCAAACCAAACCGAGAACAAGATGCTCCGGCCGGACACCGCAAACGAACGCAGAAAAAATCGGCACTTCCGTAAATCTAAAAAAGATCGCGCACCTTCGAACATCCAGACGCACCTATTAGCGCGGGGCGCAAACTACGTGCTACAACTTCGACGATGGTCCCAAAGAAGAGCTCAAGCCGTTCGGGCTCTCCGAAGGTCCGTGTCGGGCTTCGACCTGGTAAATAGTTAATCGGCGTAGAGAAACACCGAGACACGAAAAAGAAAAATAAGGCGGAAAATAAGAGACGAAGGAGGAAGAAGCGTTACGGCTGATTTGGCTCTTATGTATGAGGCGCACGCGGGTAATGAAGGCGTTCACACAATTCGAAAATTGGGTTCTGTGTGGAAGGGTATATTCGAACGTGACCTTACAACGTATTGGAAGCAACTGTCTCAGGAAATCGCTCAGTTCGTATCGCGCGCATTGAAACGTTGTTCAAAGTAAGGTGGATGCAAAGTGTTGGTTGTCGTGCGTGTGCGGTGCTGTACGAACGGGTTCTGAAGCGAGGTAACCTCCGAGCTCGTTCCATCAAACAAGAAGAGATCTTAACAAGACACGAGAACACGCGCCCACGGGAAAGAAAATAATGCTTACAACGAGCAATGAAAACGTGCTTACAGTAGCACTGTGATAGAGAGCTTGCGCGAAAACAGCATTGGTATGCGCTACGTGTAGAACTGGACCGGTTCCGCATCTTGGGGCTATCCACACAAAACAGTGACCAGTCACGTACAAGTGATCATTTTTTCGTGTCTTTTGCTCTTCCCAGAACATGCGGGCACTCTTGAAGCCCTCCCCTGACCGCGTGGCATGTATACCTTATCCTCGGCATCTCCGATCAGCGGGTGCCGGAAGCTGTTCGAGGGCGACAGCTCCCCCCGGAGATTCCGCGTCATCAGCCGCCTGATCGCCTGGGCGGGGGGGGGGGGGTAGTGGAAAGCCCCCGAAAACATCGCACGACAGCAGGAAAATAAAGGTTTCGGGGATGAACACAAAACAAGCAGAGATATATTCAGCCCCTCAGAGTTGACATTGCTGGCGACTTATCTTTCCCCCGTCTGCTGGCGTGTTGATACAAGATTTCCGGAGTTCCCCACGCCCTTCCGATGGCCTTCCTTTCCGCTCGTGATGTTCTGTTCGTCGGGCGAGCAACACAGGACGTACAAACGCTACCAGGGTGCATGGACACGACCACGAACGGCGACGTCCATCATAAGAAACTGACGCTAGAAACAGCTGTGTGTGTGTAAAGGGGGGGGAGGGAACACAACTGCAACATACAGACGAACAGGCGGGCGAGGGCGTAAAACAATGGTACCCACAATCGCGACATTTTCGGTTGGTTCCCGGGCCACCACCCAGTCCTTTGTCACGCGCGGCCGTAAATGTGGGCGCTCAATCAATACCCTTACACCTGCGCAATCAGAAATTGCAGCAAGCGGTTTTCTGATAGATGTCGGGTCGACTACATGCATGCATGCAAAAAAATCAAGGTATCCACTCTAAGAAAGGTTCTACCTGCATGTCGTTGGTGAGCCCGAACAGGTAGCCAAGCTTGGTAACCACCGCTTCGGTGGTCATGTCCCCGCCAGAGACAACGCCGTTAGCTTCGAGCGCAACCCCGACGGCGTAGGCGCCGAGGCTCACGCCCCCCCTGAGGCACTGCGTCACTGCCATCACCAGTATCCCCTTCGCTTTCGCCATCTTGGAAACATGATGGGCGGGCGAAACGCGCAAGTAATGGATTTCGCCTTAGATGTCTTGGGAATGTGATAGGAGCACAAACGCAAGCCATGACACTTGGAGCGACGAGAGTGACGACGAAAACATCGAAATCGTCGAGGGCCGTCCAAGGCGGCGGCGGAACATCGAGTCGACGAAAACCATCGAGAGCTAGCATGTGAAATAACAAGAAACACAGCGAAAAACGGCAACACCACCACCACCACCACCACCACCACCACCACCACCAACGACGACAACGACAACGACAACGACAATGGGGAAGAAGAAACGCCCATCAGCACGACACCCTGCACGAGAAAAAGAAAGAAAAGTGTACACCTCATGCATCCCACGCACCTCACGCAGGTACCCTCCCCCCCCAAGGCTGTATACAGTAGTCAAAACATTCAAGGGTTGATCTGCAAAACCCCGTGTAGCAGACAACGAACTTCCTGTCCCCGCCGGAACCTGGGCGCCCACAAATACACGTATGGTGGGAGACACCAACGCACCTTAATGAACTGGACGAAGTCTTCCCGACGGCTCGGGCTGTTGCCGGTGCCGTACAGCTCCAGCACCACCGCCCTCAGCGCGGTGCAGTGCTCCACCAGGGCGAGGAGGGCGTGGTCGTCGAACCCGGGTATGAGCTTGATCACCACCTGGTGTGGTGGTGGTGGCGCACATCCGTGTTGACTGAGGTCGTCGAGGTCGGACGCCCGAATCTAGCTAGCTATGTCATCATTCTATCATCTCCAGTGACTTCATCGAAGCCGTAAGCAACAAACAACCCCCCTCCCAAAAAAAAACGAGTTGAACAAAAAGCTACTGTAGCAAAACCAAGAGAATTCTCGACAGACTGTGGACAACGCCCACTCTTTTTTGCTTACAACACCCCGTGACTTGTCGTCGTCAAGTCGTGTACAAAGGATTTACCGCTCCCAACGGTAGCTTCCTACGGTACATCCTTTGAAGCGGTGGCTCAGCGTTGAACCACGCCATCACCATCGCCAACGTCGACTACGCACAAGAAAACAACAAGAATACACACCGCCAAATCGGGGAGGAACGAAGGCGGCAACGACGACGCTAAAAGATAATAACAACAGCGGCGCACGCACGACCACACCGGGAGCAAGGACTCACCACCCTAGAGTCCATGTTGGTGTGCACACGGAACGGCCCCCGCGGCGGGGGAAGCGCTACGTCCCTGCGGTACCGCATCTTCACGCCAAGGTCCCCCAGGTGGGCAAAGTTAGGCGAGTCGTAGGCCGTCAGCGCCAGGCTGCACGTCGGGGGGGGCGGGGGGGGGGGGGGGGGGGGGGGGGGAGATAGAGGGAAAGTGAGTAAGGTATTAAAAGAAGGAGT